AAATTCATCAATCAAGGTAATTAAATAAATAGCCATACATACATACATCAGGATTAATAGTAGCACTATTATTGTGATATACATCAAATAAAGTTTGATAATTTTAGTTTTCTCTAATGTTTGATATTCACTGATGATATACCATTGTATTGCAGAACTTTAAAAAACAGTGGCAATCAAATATACAGTGTTCACACTACTAGAACATCAAAATCAATTGATTACATAATGTTATTTCACAGATATACAGACAGAGTAAATGCAACTAACCTGCAGTTCGGTTTTATTTTTATAATTTATCAGTCGTGTGATGTACTTAGAATTGTGAGCATTTAGACATTGATATTGAAGAATTAAGGTGATTTTTTGAAGTCAATCTAAATGAAATCAAAGTAAGTCAATCTAAAGTAATTTTTTTAATTATTTAAATACATTTGTAATAGTTTTTGACGAAAGCGTCAATCTTGCATTCGAATACATCCGAGGTACGAAGTAAGTACTTCATGTAAAAATATTAAAAATTCTTGTAGTAAAAACGGAGGCTTTTTAGTTCAGAAAAACAAAAACCTTAGACAATTAGACATTCATAATAAATTAAATATAATTAAAATTGGAACATTGAAGATCAATATTTTTATTACACTTGATTTGACTAACCGTGTGTATAAATTATTTAGAAATTAAAAAGAACAAAAAATTTGAAAAATCGCGAATGTAATAAATTAAAAAAAAAAATCACTAATTTGCAATAAAAAACATTCTACTAATACAAAGTATCGTATGATAGTTTGATGTGTGTATTTGAAATTTTTATAACTCGAAAACCACATTTTTTTATTCAAAAATAAATAACAATTAGCAAAACCACGTTAAAATAATTATTTAAATTTATAAACTTCTAGTGACACTAAATATTCTATAAAGCAATAAAAATATAAAATCCTAATTTGTGTTAGCATTGCATTTAATATAAATTTTATTGCAAAAATGAGAAAAAAAGATTTAATTCAAACTTTTGATCCAATCAAGCAAAAATAAATAAGCTTTGTTAATAAATTTTTTATCGATTATTGATTAATGTGGCTTATGGTTCTCAAATACAAAAAATCTAAAATAAAATATTGCCGTTAACTTATCATGAAAATTTCAAAATTCACTTGATAAATTGATTGTATTATAAATTATTATTCTTATATAAGATCATATAGATTTTTACACAAATTTTCTTTATTTTATTTCTAATTATTGAAAAATAGGTACCATAATTAGTTAATTGACGAATAAGTATTTGTTTACCATTTGTAGCCGTGGAGAATAAATGTATAATTTTCCATGCTTTTCGAATTGGATTAGAACATTAAGTAAATATTGAATTCTTAGATTATCTCAACATTACCGTTAATCCTTTTAGGTATCAATAAATATAATTCGTTTGTCATTTATTACCAAAAGTTAATACTGTTACAGCAAACTTCGTTAATCCGATTAGGAGATCACCTTTGTAGTAATTGGATTAGGACTGGGTTAGTAGGGCTCAGTAGCAGATCGTATTGGTTGTATTTTTCTAAATAATTATCTTAAGAATCGAATAATAGAAGATTTTCTACCTGTTCCCATTTTAATACGGTAATGCAATTTGTGTGCATACACATCGGATTAGAACATTCAGTGATAATTGGAGGTTAGAACTGGTTATTGGATTATACTATTTGCAAAATCTTTTGCTACATAAAGAACGAGCAGTTGACTAATCGACAAATTGACTTTAGACTAACGTGTTATTTGGAAGAGCATGTTCTATTTATATGTATGTAGTGCACGAACCACAAGGTTTTGAGTTCAAATCCATTCAAGCTGTTGTTCTACCTAGCTATTAGAAGGCGTCTCAATGGTTATTCTTATTATTTCTGATGATTTTTTTTCAACTTCTTTGATTTATCAATAAAAACCGACTTGATAATTTGTGTTTTCTCGACGTTTGAAGTCATTGTTAATCGTTTGAGAACAGAATTTGGAAAAAGTATATTTTCTAGTATGTGAGCTGATTTTTTACCTTTTGTCGACGATTTTTCAAATAAGGCTGGATCGATTTTAAAAATTTAGAAGTCAATCGACGTTACTTGATGAAGACCAGCGTTTATCATTTTTGTGCGAAGATTGGCCAAGCCGTTTTTGTAATTAGCAGAAAAGTGTAAAATTCTTTGTCCACGTTTAAGACCACAATCTTGAATCGATTTTAAAAATTCAAAAAGGAAAATATTGGTTGGGAATCACGTTGATTAGTTTTTGACAAAGATTAGTCGGTCCGTTTCTTCATAATTAAATGTTGAAATATTTGTTTTTTTGATTATTTTCATGAAACTTTGTATGAAGATAGATTTTACAGTATAAAATAACATACTTACTAAAATAGTATAAGCGCAGTTTAGTTATTGTTTTTCTAGTTGTGATCTCTTAATTATTATTTTGATTCAATTATTTCTGCAGAAAATACCTTTCGTGCATACGTAGGTTCCGTGTTTAGTTGGTAGCTATTGATTGCAGTTGACATTCACACTTAAAAAAAACATTTTTAGAATACGAAATGAATGAAATGAAATTTGTTAAACAAATTAATTTAATTATTACTATTAAAGATATTATAAGTATGTTTGAAAATCTTCATTCGCTTCGATTAATTTTTAGTGAAACCTAAATAGCTGAATCTCAATTCTTAGGGAGCGCCAAAACGAGTTTCGGAAATTAAATTTATAACATAATATTTATATTTTTTTATATAAAATCTAGAATTATTTATGTAAAATCTAGAATACTTAATAAATTATAATAAATAATTTAACTTAACTAGGGATATGGAGACACAAAAAGCATATTTATTTTGAATGTGATATCAGTAGAAATAATTAACCGATTAATAATTCTGCAAATTAGTAAATAACAGCTCTGTTTATTGCTTAATCTACTTATTCAATTTTTTCTTTGTTTGAAGTTACCGTGAAATAGAAATGGAAATTATCTAGTGTTCAATCCCCATAAGCGCAGACCTGCGATAGATTAAATTAATTATTGGGCATTATTGACGAAAAATTGCGAGCTAAATTAGTTGGATCGGAACTTGTTAAAAATATAAACAAATTAAAAAAATGGGGAGCCAGTGCTTAGAAAATGACTTGTTTATTCCGAGAAATTGAATTGTAACCTTTGCTTTTGTTGCAAATGTTTCGTATTTGTTGAACTTTGAATGTTGAAGACATGCGTGGAACAAATATGAAAAATGTAAGCAAAATTTACTTTGGAATGAAAATCTTAAGGCTTGTTTCATACCTAGTGGTGTCCATACTCTAAATTTAATAATTATTAACTATACAGAAATAATACATATCAAATATAATAAGTTTTTTTTTCAATATTGTTCAAGAAATGTGTAATTTCTTTGCATTTTTACTGATTTTTGAACAATACTTCTAAAATACGTTACAAATTTAACGACTCTTACGATATCAATAAGGAGAGGTTTACGATGCAATTTTGCATATTGTAAATGATGAAAAATTAAATTAAATTAAAATTAAAAAAATCCAACATGAAATACGAGTGTTATGTTTGAAAATTAAATGCTAGTTTTTTTAAAATATTAATATTGCACATATGTTAAAAATAATTGAAAATTTCAAAATACTTGATTATAATCAACCCCCGAACCACCTTGATTTCCAAATAAATTTAAAATCAATATACTTTATACGCTTTTAGATTATATCTAATTTTTTGTGCACAATCCAGAATAATTAAAAATTAATTTATTTATTTCACTCAATATTTTTATTAAATTAAAGTTATAGAGTTTAAGAAATGCATTTCAGAAATAGTATTTATTATTTAGATGTCAAGATCTTTATATCAAAATAATAAATACTATTTCTGAAATGCATTTCTTAAATTCTATAACTTTAATCTAACAAAAATATTAATTCTTTTGCTATGGTAGTCGAACTTACATCCTTAACCAATTTACTACATATTGAATATTACTAAAATGTGAAATTATGACAGTGATTGTTTTATTTATTGATATCGATAATATTAAATAAATTTAAAATCAATATATTTTATACCCTTCTAGATTATATCTAATTTTTTGTGTATTAAATCCAGAATAATTAAAAATTAATTTTTAAAAAAATTGTAAATATTTATATAATTCTAATGATAAACTGTTAAAACGGTGAAAATTAATAGGGGGGGGGGGGCGCTAGAAAAAAAGTTGCATGCGGGCGCTAAGGACCCCAGGACCGGCCCTGTGTATACCTATTGGTAACTTGCCTTGAGGCAAAATGCTACTTACAACTAGTTTTATTCGAAACCTCATTGTTCTATTTATGCAGTAAGTACCACAAGGCTCTCAGTTCAAATCTATTAATTCTGTTTGAATCTATTGTTCTTTCTATAGAAAGTTGACTCAATGTTTGTCCTTTCTGATTGTGATGATTTTTTTATATATTAGATGGAAACCCAGTAGGTGTCTTTATCTTATAGTGATGATATATTTTAGCTAGATAACTGTTCAAATGGGGAAGGAAAGTTATATATTTTGCCTTAAGGCAAAATGCTACTAAAGACTAGTTTTATTTAAAACCTCATTGTTCTTGTTCTCAAATGAGTACCTCAATTCATTCTGTTTGGATCTACGGTTCTACCTAACTGTTGGAAGTTGGCTCAATGGTTGATTATTCTTTCTAGTTGTGATTATTTCTTTTTATATTAAATGCCAACCCAGTGGGTGTCTTTATCTTACAGTGATGATGTATTTCAGCTACTTAACTGTTGAAATATTAATAATATATTTGTAGATTGATGTTATCATTAAAAATGTTTAAAAATCTTTATTCCCCGAACAAATTCATATTTATTACAGCAATGAGTTTTGAAAATTTTCTGATTGACTCGAAACCAAGATAATTAGAGAAACATTTAGGATAATATATGACCGGCATATAAAATATTGATCTGGAGTCACGTAACAACGGAGTTTTATGAATATACAATAAACCGTTTGTATGAAGTTGCAAGTGAACCGATGAGTATGGGCCAATTGCCTTTGCCGTAAAATCAAAATCGAATTCTAATTCCAATTCCGAGCATGGACGTCCTTGGGCCCCTGAAGAAGTCAATAATGTTTTGTCTGTTAAGTCATATAATAATTCGTATTGTGTAACATTAAAGCAATGTGCAACTGCAGTTCTCAGGGACTATTTTGCCTTTTCGGTTTTAGGTTTTAGTATTTCGCTTTTCGTCCTTGCCGGTTCAAGGAACTCAGATATTATATATGTGGAGAAAAAATGTTAATAGCGATCGTGATTTATAGATAATATTACGGGATCATCATATTATG